AGAGTATGAGACACCGAGCTCATACTCTGTGAAGACATGAGTGTCTTCATGACGAGCGCCTGCATCACCAGGTGACACAGGCTGAGTCGCTTCAGTAACCGATGAGACATCAGTTGCTGTGGTTTCTGCTTCGGCGTTCGCACAGAGACGTGAGGACGCGCTCTCGGCGGCCTTGCTCGCGCATCGCATGGACTTGTTTACCATGCGATGAAACTGATGGAAAGTGGACTCGGACCAACAAGTGCAAATCCCGTCCCGAATGATTTGGGACGAGTATCCATTTAGTCAATCAGTCACTAAAGTGACTGATGGTTAGGGGGGGTGATGTAACGGGGTGAATCATTACATAACAATTTATAAGAAATCGTTAATAGAATATGACTATAAGAGTTATATTCTCAGAATATTGTCATAAGGATAAATATTCTGCAGCACTTACGAGTAGTTCCTAATTGGTTGATATAAGCCATTACATTAAAACAACGAAGACGCGCCACGACAGACGCACGCAATGAGTGGTGAGCAGATAGTTGATATGCACATTTGTATTTAGACATAGTTAGATGAGGATAAACAGTGGTTTATTAACAGACATTAACTATGATAAATACAGCTCTACTTTTTACTTTAACCAAGTACTCGCTTTTCCTTACCGTCTTCCTCTGCACGTACGAGTGTACGTGAAGTTACGAGACACCGCATTATTCTGTCATCAGAATAAGTAGCTTGCACTGTCACCCGTACAAGCTTCAGGGTGCCCCGTTACAGGCAGGGACGCGGCTCCGCTGTTGGTGCAAAGACGCAACGACGGGATGGACCGTAAAAAACGGACAGGATCAGTAGGTGCGGAGCGCCCTACTGGTCCAGCAACTTCAAGAGAGTTTGTAGGCCTCTTGATGAAGGTTGCTCCCAACACACAAACGTTGTGCGTTGCTGCTCTAGGTAATGAGATCTCACTCATTACCTTGAAACTCGAAGTGACGAATAAGTTTTCCCTTCGAGCTCTAGTCGATTGTGGGGCGTCCAACAATTTTGTACAACGCCAATCGCTAGAAGATGTTCACTTCAAGTTCAGTGAATGTGAAGCACCTCCTACGAGGATGACGGTACGTCTTGCGACAGGCGCATCCGTAACTGTCATGAAGCGTATAGTGAAGATTCACTATACTCTAGAAGATACCCAATATGACGATGACTTTATCGTGTTGGATTTGGATGACAAATTTGATGTCATCCATGGAATACCGTGGCTCAGAAGGTACGAACCACGGGTCAGCTGGCAGCATCGAACAGTAACGATGCCTGCCGTTCGTTTATCAGATGGCCATCTGATGAACGTCTTGGAGTGTCCACAAGCGTGTGGATGTACTACGTGTGAGTGCGATGGCCTTACTTGTGGTACGGTCGTTAGTACGACTGCACAAAACCTTAGTGTAACAAACGGTTACACTTCGGAGCAAGATTCCGGCGGATGTGAAGAAACACAGGCTGCGCCGAAGTTCCACCACTCGAATAAGTCGAGTGGACCGGGACAACGATGTATCCCTAGCGGGGAATATCTAGAAGATAAACAATCGATCGCTCAGGTTAAGCGAAACGATAATCCTAGATCGACTGGAGAGTCTTTCGTAGAGGATCTTGCTGTGGTTGCGCAACCACAGCTAGAGGAAGTTAAGGGAATAAGTCCCGATATTACAAATACGGTGGAAATAAGTTCCCCGAAACCCGAGGGAATAAGTCCCCGGGAAGCCGAAGGAATAAGTCCCCAGGAAATTACAGAGACACTGAATGTCCTATTTAATGATGGATCAAGTGAAGGCGCTATACACTTGATCTGATTGCGCCTCCGAAGTTGACTTCGGAGATCACTCAGTTGCCAACGCTCGAACATATAAGGTTCTTGCATGATCTGCGTAGTGGCAAAGTCAAGCAGATCTGCGTACTCGTCGCTGACGACGAGTGTGTAGCCGGCATAAGGTCAGCAACAGTGTTCACTGAGAACGAGAGAGTTCTCAGTAGTTCATCTATGGACGAGAGTGTCCTAGATGAAAAGACACGAGTTGAGCGATGTGACTCCCAATCGTGACAATCGCTCAAGAAGATTCCTCTTTATAAATATTTAGTTGAATTCAAGGATGTATTCCCTGAAACCGTTCCGTGCGAGTTACCGAAGGATAAAGTTATTCGACACGAGGTCGAGCTTAAACCAGGCTCGAAGTACTGTGTCATAAAGCAGTGGCCACTGCCTCATGAACAAGTACTTGCGATCGACAAGTTCTTTACCGATCGTTTAGCTGCGGGCCATGTGAGGGAATCAATTTCCCCACATAGCTCTCCGACCTTCTGTGTGCGAAAAGCAACAGGAGGGTGGCGGATAGTGCATGCATCTAACAAGTTGAATGCTGCAACGGTACCGGCTCGGACGCCGATACCAAGGAAGGACGTAATCATTGATGGTATGTCAAAGAGTACCATCTTTTCATCCATGAATTTGATGGATGGCTTCTATCAAATCCTTATGCGAGAACGGGATATACCCTATACCGCAGTGAGCACGCCTAGCGGCATGCTCTGATAATGGCTCGTAATGCAACAAGGGCTTAGTAATACCCCTGCCACGTTCAACAGATGTGTATCACATCTGTTGAGACCAGCGCAAGAATTCGCACCGAGTTATTTCGATGACGTATTCATTCACAGTCGAGCTATGGATGAAAAGTCGGACGTTGAGGTTCACAGATACCACGTCCGACAGGTTCTTACAATTATGCGAAGGCATCAATTGTATGCAAACCTCAAGAAGTGTATATTTGCAGCAAGCGAAGTACCACTTCTTGGGTGCATCGTTGGTAAGAACGGTGTACGTCCTGATCCCGAAAAGATCAAGGCGATCACCGACCGGCCTGTGCCAGTTGATGTCAAAGGTCTTCGAAAATTCCTTGGGCTAGCGGCGTATTTGCACAAGTATTCACGCAATTACGCCGAGATGACTATACGCCTCTCTCGTTTGTTGAAAAAGAACGAGAGGTGGTTATGGAACGCTGAATGTCAGCGCTCCTTTGATGGTATCAAGCAGAGCTTGATACAATCCCCAGTCCTAGCAATAGTCGATCAGGACAGTCCATTTCATGTAGTCTGTAATGCCAGCGATATCGCAATCGGCTGTGCATTAATGCAGTACGATCTTGAAGGCGTTGAACGCGTCGTCTGCTATCGGTCGCGTCAGCTGCAACCAGCTGAGGGGAACTATCCAGTGCATGAAAAGGAACTACTTTCCATGAAGTATGCACTCGCAAAGTTCAGAGTCTATCTATTAGGAGATAGACCCTTCATTGTTTACACTGACCATGCGTCATTACGCACGGCAGTAAACAGCCCGCACCTTTCACAACGAATGGAGCGGTGGTTGTCATTCTTTGCAGAATACAACTTTACGGTTGAGTACAAACCAGGACGACTTAACGTCGTCGCTGATGCACTCTCACGTCGTCCCGACTTTGAATCAGTTGTGAAACCCAACAGTGAGGCAGTCACTATTGCGGTTATGACGTCCTCAGTCCCATCTACAACGTTGTATGATGATGTGAGGCGGGCTTACGCCCACGATGGTGAGATTGTAAAGCTGATGACACATCTCTCACAGCCATCTCGAGAATCGTTGAAACGATTATCGTCTGCGTATCGATCTGATGCAGATCGATACACTACTCGCAACGGTTTACTGTATTATACAGCCGTGACTGGTGACACACCACGTGTTGTCATTCCAGATGATACTGATCTGCGTTTGCGGATCATGTTCGAGAATCACGATGCTCCTATAGGAGGACATCGTGGCCGTGAGAAAACATATCTCACGGTGAGTCGAGACTTTTACTGGCCCCGCCAGTATCAGTTTGTGCGAAAGTATGTTCGCGCATGCGAAGTCTGTCAAAGAGTGAAGCCAAGTCCTTCACTGCGTGCACCTTTACAGCCTCTACCAGTTCCGGCAGAGTGCTGGGAATCCATCTCAATGGATTTTGTCTTCGGGTTACCCAAAGACGCACGCGGGAATACGGGTATCCTCGTATTTGTTGACAGATTCAGCAAAATGGTCCACCTCGTGGCTGTACTCAATCACAGCAAGTGGCTGTGCTTGTGTCTTTATCGACACCATCTTCTGACTTCATGGGTTGCCCCGTGAACTCTTATCAGACAGAGATCCACGCTTCACTGCTGATTTCTGGCGTTCCGTGTTCAAATCACTCGGAACGCGCTTGAAGATGTCGACATCTGATCATCCAGAGTCAGATGGTCAGACGGAACGAGCCAATCGTGTCGTCGCAGAGATACTTCGAGGATACGTACACTCCTTCAAGAGTTGGAGTGAGTTCTTGCCAATGGTAGAGTTTGCCATTAACAACTCGGTGCATGCGTCCACGACACATACACCGTTTTACGTGAATGGCTTGCGACATCTGCGTGTACCCACCTTACTCGAGTGCAATCCTGGTTTAAGGGGGGAGAGACTCGCGCGAGCAAAAACCGATTTGGTTCAAGATCATCACGCTCTGACGATGAGGTCATTGCGTTAGATGCCGATATCGATAACATCGATATCGAAGAAGATGATGCCAGTTAGAGCGAGGAAGCCCTCACTGATGAAACGATCGTTGTCGCTGCAGTGCACTCATAGCGCACTGAAGCTAACAAGTCAGCAGGTGAGTTCTGCTCGTGAAACGGTAGTCCGTTTTGTGCAAGACTCCATCGCCGAAGCGGTGGAAAAGCAAAAGCAAAACGCAGACAAGAATAGAAGGGCAAACACTCTTTATCTAATAAAGGTGACTTAGTCCTACTGTTTACGGCTAACCTACCAAAGCATGTAGTGACTAGCTTGGGTAGTAGTAAACTTCTACCCAAGTACATCGGCCCATTTCGTGTATTGCACCGCCTAGGAAATGCATACACGATCGAACTGCCACGTAAGATGCGAACGCATCCCACATTTTACGTTGGTCGGCTTAAGCAGTACCATCGTTACGTTGCTTTTTCCGATGAAGAACGCCCTTACGCTCAAGCATCTCGCAGAGGGCCTTGTGCTCCCGAGGATGGGCATCGACAAGGGTCTGAAGAGCAGTTATCTCATCCCGAGACCGATCAATAATCCCACGAGCTACCCTTAGCTCGTCACGCAGAGACGTCAGAGCTCTCTCGTTCTCAAGCTGAGCAAAGGCAAACTCAGCTCGATGCTTCAAGACAGTGTCCGCCAGTTGGAGACGTCTGTCCCGCTCATGTTCGAGATCGCCACGTAACCCTTGAGCTACGCGATCAAAGAAGCTCCCGGAAACACACGCTTCCCCACGATTGTGTGGAGAGCGTCTTCCCTCCTCCTCCACCTCCATTAGAGGAATCTCGTGGTGGCCAGCGCTATCTGGTTGAGCAGCTGTTGAACCACCGCGACGTGAACGGACGTCGGACGAGTTATCTCGTCCGGTGGAGCGGCTATCCCCCGTCCTTGGATACTTGGTAGCCCCGCTCTCAACTGATGGTTGACGTACTGGGTCTGGTCGAGCAGTACGACGTGGCACATCCTGTGCCGCAGAAGGACCGCCGGAGAAAGTCTTCCCGGCACGGTCGTAAAGGGATTTCAGGTTGTCAATCCCTTCGTACATCTCACTAGAGATACGTAAGCGCCACCACGGGCTATTAGGGAGGTAAGCCTCCTTAGGTGCTCGTGCAGAGTTGTTCACACAACATAATCACGAGTCTCCCCAAGAGAGGCAGGGTAATCCTTTCTCCCTTGACAGACGATGCAGCTTGTAGCGTGCACCTGTCGGGGATCGCTTTGTCAAACTTTTCACGAGCTTTGACAAGTTTGTCGTTCCAAGCGTCACGACCTACATCCTCAAGGTTATGGATGTAGGCGTTCCACGCTTGAAGTAGTGAGGGACCATCACGCTTGTGATTCCCACTGTACCATCGATGTCTAAAGAAAGCATCGATGAAGAATCCATTCTCAGCGCGATAGGTTTTCGCACCGGGGTCAAGGTGATGGATCCTTGACGAATCGAGCAATCGTGTTCGATAGCGATCACTTATCGTCGCCGACAAGCGATCCATGACTGACTTTGGAGGCATCCATGCCTTCTTTTCAGGAGCGAGACGCAACACGTTGCGGTCCCGCTCTTCCTGCGACGTGCCGACAGAAGTACTGGCACCTCGCTGCGAAGTGGTGTCAATAGGAGAACCGACACCACTGTTAGCGCCCGAGTCTCGCGATCTCGAGCGACTTCGCTTCGGCGATGGTTCATCTGATTCGTCAGACGAACCGAAGATGCTACGACGAGTAGCATCTTCCATGTCACGCTTGGCAGGCGGCTTGATTCAACCGCCTTCGATACAGATCCCTCTTCCGTATCAGGAGAGTACGAGACACCGAGCTCATACTCTGAGAAGACATGAGTGTCTTCATGACGAGCTTCTGCATCACCAGGAGATAAATACTGAGACGCTATGGCAACTGATGGCACATCGGTTGCAGCGGTTTTTGCTTCGGCGTCTGCACAGAGACGTGCAGACGCGCTCTCAGCGGCCTTGTTCGCGCACCGCATGGACTTGTTTACCATGCGATGAAACTGATGGAAAGTGGACTCGGACCAACAAGTGCAAATCCCGTCCCGAATGATTTGGGACGAGTATCCATTTAGTCAATCAGTCACTAAAGTGACTGATGGTTAGGGGGAGGTGATGTAACGGGGTGAATCGTTACATAACAATTTATAAGAAATCGTTAATAGAATATAACTATAAGAGTTATATTCTCAGAATATTGTCATAAGGATAAATATTCTGCAGCACTTACGAGTAGTTCCTAATTGGTTGATATAAGCCATTACATTAAAACAACGAAGACGCGCCACGACAGACGCACGCAACGAGTGGTGAGCAGATAGTTGATATGCACATTTGTATTTAGACATAGTTAGATGAGGATAAACAGTGGTTTATTAACAGACATTAACTATGATAAATACAGCTCTACTTTTTACTTTAACCAAGTACTCGCTTTTCCTTACCGTCTTCCTCTGCACGTACGAGTGTACGTGAAGTTACGAGACACCGCATTATTCTGTCGTCAGAATAAGTAGCTTGTACTGTCATCAGTACAAGCTTCAGGGTGCCTCGTTTTACGCTGGTTTATCAGCAAATACAAGACACGTTGAACTGCGAGAAAGGTAAAATGTGTAATAAATATTGACTTAAATTTTTATTACTTTAATAAATAATTATAAATTATTTATTTTATAGATTTGTAAGCTTGTATGTCAAAAGTGGTATTTTGGCTCCTGTATAGCTCGAAGGTTGCCGTATGCATGCGGATTTGATGACAAAAGCTGTAGCAGCACCACGACTGGAGGAGCTGGGAACATCGGTTCGCGTCGGCAAATGTCAAGATGACGCAATAGAATAAGGCAAACTAACATGACGGATAGTGTGATTGGACGACAGATGATAAAGGCAAATTTGTATTTATTCATAAAAGCTACATATGATAGGGTGAATGTGAGTTCGGCTGAATGAAGAAGCAGAAGGCAATTGAAGTGCCCGCTAGTGGAGTGTTGCGAGTTTAACGATCTTGATGTGGGTCTTGACCTGCGGTTATAAAAAAACTAGACCGCGATAGTCTATATTGCATGTGTATGCGTAGACGACATGACATTTGTTGAGTGGAGCAGACGACCTCTCGTGTTTCGGTTGATGATCGGATCTTAGTCCGGATGCAGACTTGTTCGTTCTACTAAAAACACCGTGTTCGTAGTTCGTGTTCCCTCTGTGTCCAAAGCAGTGCGACTGGACATTTAACAGTCATGACCGCGCTGATAGAGCGACATGCAATAGCAAAGTGCATGTGAGTCTCATAATGAATGCCTCGCAGAGATTCTAACGTTAGCTTGGTCTTGAGTATGGTCTGAATATCCTAATGTAGCCAAGCTTTTTCTCCAGGAAGTATTCCGTCCCTCAAGTTTCATTTACCAGCGACACCAAATGAGCAATTATGCATTAAAGCAGGGAACGATGTTAGCTCACGATGACAAATGCACAGTTTATAACACCATTATCTGCTAATTGTTATGGTCGGCGCAAATGTATCGAGAGGTAAAGCGATCGGGGAGAGCGTTATGCCATCAGCACCGACGAAAGCATGGCAGATTTGACATGCTAACATGTCTGGTAGACTTTCGCATCATCCAACTGCTTTGACAATCTACCACTTCTACTGCTTTGCAGCAAAAGCGTAAGACACTGCGCGAAATGTGCTGCAATTCAGGGTTGGTCCACTTGCTGCACCTGATCTGCGGTGTACCTTCTCTGCTGTCGTAAACAAAGCTGGCTGGTTGTCTCCTCACACTGACATTGTCAGGGCCATTCATTGTACGGAAAGCGGAACGGACTTACTGATTGCCCGCACAAGCGATGGACAGCGGTGGTTACGTCTCGTTCTCTTACCACACATATGCAGGTAGCTCCTTCAAACACACATTTTCAACCGAAGGTTGTTGCCGCACATGTTGAACTGGATCGACTGTGCTGTCTAAAGTGAACACAACAGCTGTAACACGTTCAATCCATCTTTGTTAGCAAATGAAAGCTAACGGACTCATCCCACGCGTCCATCAATCTCGTAAACCAGTTTACCTCCATTCTACTCGCACCAGACGCCTCGGTGTGCTAGCTGGAAGTGGAGTCCCCGCAATGCAGATTTACGCCGGTGTGCCGCTCGTGGTGACGGTACCGTCGTACACATCCGTGATGCCAAAGCAGTTTTCCGCGATATGAGCAGGCACAGTCATGTCAAATGCAGGCATTTTAGCCATACACGACTTGTCCAGACGTGCGAGGTCACCATTGCAGGAGACGAACGAGGCCAGCAGCTCCATAGCACAACTCGTTTCGCTCTCGCCGAATGCGGTGTCCTCAAGTGTGACGTGGCCCGAGAAGTCGAATACAACGAGTTCTTTTTTGGAGGTTTCGAGCGCCTCGTAAATGTACTCACTGTACTTGTGATGAGCCTGTACGTCCAGCTTTCCACTCAGCAGTAGCACGCTGGCTTCGCTGGAAACGACAGCAGCCTCGTTCCAAAAGTGGTCCTTTGAGTATGCGATCGGATTGGCTTCGTAATTGCCGAAGGTATATTCCTTACACACCGGCGACGGGTCTTTCGTGTATGCGCAATACAGGGGAATAGAGTCGTACATTCCCAGATACGAGATGCTCAGGTTTTTGTGCTGAGCTTCCAACTCGGCGTAGGTTGGCATAGGATTGGGCGACATTTCGGAGAAGATGTTCATTTGGTAGAACAAATTTGAAATCAGAGCATCATCTGCGATTCCTCCATCTTGAGTGATGATCGTGAAGAAATGCGTCAAGATCTCCACGTCGGAAGGCTCGCAGCGATTGAGTCTGTAAATCACCGGTGGAATCGCGGAACGCATGGGCGGACCCCTTGCAAGCCCGCCAAGTGTCCGCCGAAGGCCACTAGATGGTTCATCCTCAGTGAAGTTCCGAACCAAGGTAGCGCATGTCGAGTTGGGATCCTTGTCGAACTTCGACATCACGTCATGAAGCGTGGTGGGCAAGGTATCAGTTTTGAAGTGAGAACTGCACTCAGTGTATTCAGAACACAGCTCCAAAAAGTGCTCGCTCACTTCATTGAACTCAACGTCCCCCTTTACCCAATATGTCTTCTTGTCCAACGGTACCACAGAGGCCGCGGGACTGTCCAAGACGTACCCAGTCACACCCAATGGATTCATCTGCATCAGACGTTGGATCATCAATGTTGCAGTGAGGCTTCTACCATACATGATATTACTCGCGCCATTTGCGAGCATGGGGAGGAGCGTGACAACATCCATAGCTGCGCTTGTGACCGAGAACGAAGCGAGATCTCCATACTTGTTCTGCAGTTCCCGAGCACAAGCAGCCACTTCCGTGAGATCGATGTCGGCGCCAGACGGGGATCCACTCGTCATTGCTTGCGATGATACGCAGTCCAGTCGCGAACTGCGTCCCGTGCCGCGGAGGTCCATCGTAAGCACGTTAACTGATCCATTCAGGCGCTTGTGTAGCGTCACCATCGAAGCTTCGGCTAGTGTGTACAAGAACCTTCAGTTAGTTTCAAATCAGTCAGAGCATGACACGAAGATTCGCTTGCTTACCTTCACTGGAGGCTCCACTTGCGAACATCCACACGTTCGTTGCATGGTCTGCGTAGGCTCCCGTGGCAGGCAGCATCTTGACGAACACGTTGATTGTCGGGTACACATTCGGCAGGAGCTTACAGACATCAGTGTAACACAACGGGACCCCAACGGTCAAGCACTGGGCTCGGTATTCCTCTTGCCCTTCACCGGCAAAGGTGTAGGCTGAGCAGGCGTGCCATCCGTTCAGCGGCAGCTCCGATGAGGTATTATAAACTGCCGAAGTTTGTCCAATCAAGCCAGCTGCGACAATGCTGAGCGCGTGATGGAGATGCATCTTCACTGGTGCTGATGTTGTCGAGGTCCACGAAATCGAGAAATGGTTCTTGTGTTCGCACGCCAAAAGCACTACCGTCGAACTGCACCGTAGCTCACGAGGCCATCGAGCGCCTGATCGAGAAAACGTCTCATCGCGGAACGATGGGACACGGCCGCATGATGCACCTTGCTCCATCCACAAAAGCCACCATCGACAGGGAAAGTGCACGCAAAGCCGGGCGTGCTGTTGTAGCTTCGTGGGCTTGTTGGTTTGTACAATGTAAGTGTTTCAATGAGACTCTGGTGGAATTGGGGACTCGAAGGCGAGGTCCACTCACGATCGGAAGATGCGGCAAAATTCTGTGGGAAATCGGTCTTTTATAGCACGCCACGTGGTGTTTCGGAACCACGTTAGTTGTCAGACGATTTTCTTGCGCGTGACTAATGTAAACACGGAGTAGTTAGTGCAATCGAGCGGGTTTATACAACCGCCAGACGTCATCTCTACAAACGCATACCTTCCAAGTGTAGGCTGCGAGCTGTGCTTGCAAGTAACGTCGTAGCTGTCACAATGAAACACACGCACACGCACGCGCAACGGCACTGCACACTGCACTCCTTATCCTACTCCCTCGATTGCATATCTAAGTGATGTGCGTCGAACAGCTTGTGAATAGTGCAGTACTGCGCGTGTGCAATCGAGAAAATTTGTGCTGTACCAGTGCAGCAAATCATACGACAGTATCTCAGCCGTCCCGTCGACATCGTGCAGCGTGTTTTTACGTTCCTATCAAGCGTGATGTCGTTCAGCTTACGGCAACACACTTGTGTCCAGACCAG